AAAACTTCAAATACAATTTTTAAAGCATTAATTGAAATTTTAATTAGCATTTTTCTTCTTAATCTAGCCAAATGATGATTAACCGACTTCCACGCAATCAGATAATTAAACTTAGATTAATAAAAACTTAACCTACGCAAACGAAACAAAAATAATTGATGCGCTTTTACAGAGATGAAATACGATTATTAACAGTGTTTGTTTATTTGTGGGTGCGCAAGTTAGTTTGTATGTTTGGGTAATATTGGGGTATGTAGAGTGGAGAGGTATACAGGAAGATATGAGGGGTGAGGTAAAGAGGGAGATATGAGGGGTGAGGTAAAGAGGTATAGAGGGAGATATGAGGGGTGAGGTAAAGAGGGAGATATGAGGGGTGAGGTAAAGAGGTATAGAGGGAGATATGAAAGGTGAGGTAAAGAGGTATATGGGGAGATATGAGTGGTGAGGTAAAGAGGTATAGAGGGAGATATGAGGGGTGAGGTATAGAGGGAGATATGAGTGGTGAGGTAAAGAGGTATAGAGGGAGATATGAGTGGTGAGGTAAAGAGGTATAGAGGGAGATATGAGTGGTGAGGTAAAGAGGTATAGAGTGAGATATGAGTGGTGAGGTAAAGAGGTATAGAGGGGGATATGAGGGGTGAGGTATAGAGGGAGATATGAGTGGTGAGGTAAAGAGGTATATGGGGAGATATGAGTTGTGAGGTAAAGAGGTATAGAGGGAGATATGAGTGGTGAGGTAAAGAGGTATAGAGGGAGATATGAGTGGTGAGGTAAAGAGGTATAGAGGGGGATATGAGGGGTGAGGTAAAGAGGTATAGATGGGGATATGAGGGGTGAGGTAAAGAGGTATATGGGGAGATATGAGGGGTGAGGTATAGAGGTATAGAGGGAGATATGAGGATCAGACAAGGGGTGATGTTAAGGGAGGTATGAAGATTATCTAAGGGGTGGGGAGATTAAGGGAAGTATGATGATTATATGAGGGGTGGAGAGGTATACAGGGAGGTATGAAAATTAGACGAGGGGTGGTTTAGACAGAGATAATCCCATCCCTATGTTTAATGCGTAGGCGTGGTTGCCCCTGTGAGCTAGCTTGAATCTTTTGGTTTGGCTGCTTCAGCTGGATGTGGTGGGGTTTTACAACAGACATAAAAATGTCATTCGTTTTTTTATCCCGATGGGAGGGTCTGTGTGTGTGTGGAAGAGGAGGGGGTGTTATTTACAAGTTCAAAGTTTATGTGTCAGCAAAAAGAACATACGTTTAAAAAATACGTTTATTGTTCTTTAAACTTCTTATTTAACGACTTGAAATCTGAAATAAAAATTCCCATTTCGGCAGTCTTCTTTTTATCGAAACTCCTTTTGTTTATAAACATTGCTATGTAGTGATCTGGTGAACATTACTTAAGCTATTGATCTATGTCGTGACTAGTACATTAGAAGATGATACACTTCACATACACGAACCTGTGCGCAGGTTCCAAATTAACCAAGGAGCAAATATAGCCAAGAGAATCTCTGAAAATACCCCGGTTAGACGTTAGCCTGTCAGCAAGCAGAGACGCGACATATCTTTAAGATCGGCCTTAAGGTGCACAAGATCGGCCTAACATGCACAACTTTCCCCATTTGCATTGGCTGAGATCTCGCTTGTGTCTCCCTATCTCCATCAAACTATTTTTATTGGTGAATCTTCTTTTTTTTTCCTGCTAGTCTACAATAGACCACATATTTCACGTTTATTTCTGCTTTATCATTACTTATTCTTTAAATCGGCGTATTTTTTTCTTCAAGTTTACGTCGTGTCTAGGTATTCCTTCCACGACAGGTGGGGTCTAGGGGCGGTAACCTTTTTTTTTTTTTTAAATCTCGTCTGCCGCTTGCGTCAAGGTGCAGCTGCAGCATGCGATCTATTTTTGAAAGAGCTCGAAGGTTTTTTTTCTATCTACTCACCTTCACTCCTCTTGCATTCCCGGCATTCATTCTTCTATACTTAGCGCACTGCAGCCTATTTATACACGGACAGCAGACAGGCCCTATACTTCTAGCAACTCAAAAGGATTAGGATCAATCATATATATATGTATATATATATATATATATATATATATATATATAATTTTATATTATATATATATATATATATATATATATATATATATATATATATATATATATATATATATATATATATATATATATATATATATATACTTACACCCGTTGCTTGATCGCGTTTAAGAAATTCTTTAAATTGTCAGGTCACTACAACCCTACATGATAGTGTCTGTCTGGCTTTTCTATAATTAGAGAAGTCACATGCCCAATTTGCCAGGTATTTTGAATACTTTAACCCTGTCAGTTCCAGGTGCGACACTACAGGGGTTAAAGTAAAAAAAAAGTTTATACTACTTTATCAAAGTCTATTTAACCTGTTTATACTGCGTTTTAGTTAAACAATTGTTTTCGTCGCAGAAATATTTCACTTTAGATTACCGCACGCTGTCTCTGAAATAATGATATATTTTTTTTCGTTGAGATGGTGGACGCTAGAAAACATTTGCCGTTAGTTGTCATTGGAAGTTAGCTTGAAACGTGAACTATTGGGGAAATGGAAAAATTACTTCCCTTGAGGATACGTGAAAAACACATTGGATCAGCGTTAGGAAAATCCTTTGGGCTGTGATGTACACATCTTACGCCATTTCACGGATGACTGAAGATGGAGGTGTGTACACAGTGTGTACGCCAGTGTGTACTTCAGTGATCAGGGGCCGGTGATCAATGAAGTGATGCTCCGATGGTATCAATTTAAATTATCCAAGCCAGCAGGATCTTTTGCAGACGAGATAAAAGTTTGTTGGAAGCACTTCAGCAAACGTAGGCGGGACTCAGGCAAGGGAGAGCAGCGGACTCAACTCTGTCGCAGGGGAGTGAATCAGCCAAAAAAAAAGAAAGGTAACTCTGGAATGAGCTGGATAGTTCTGTAGGCGGTGCTGAGGCAGGGAGACGAGGCAAGGGCAAACTGCAGGTTGTTGTTTATTTCAGAGGATACAAATTCCATTTCGTCAAGACGGGAACAAGAGCTATGTTTACTATTTGCGAGCTGTTTACTTGTTGGTGTGAAGATCGTGAGTAGCTTCATTAATGGCGCGGACCTACGAGACGTCAGTGTTGGATTAGAAGTGTGAAAACTATTCTCATTGGAGCGTTTATTGTTTTCTAATTAGTTTTAGAAAATTAATTAGTTCATAAGCAAAATCACCGTCATTAAAACTTATTCGTTCCGAATTTCGTGTTTTTAAATTTAAAACAATATACATTTTGATGTTTTTTATCTTTAAAAATAACAATAGCTTGAAAAATATTATAAAATTAATCTTGATGAATTAAACATAATTTGGTTTAGTTATAGGGCCTGGTGTTTTTTTCTTATATAAATTTTAAAAAGCGTTATTGATAATTAAAACTCAAAAACATCTAAACATAAAGCCAAAGCTAAAATTGGAGTTTTTTGTTTAGTCCAACACATTATCTAAACCTAAAGGTAAATCTATTCCTGGAAGGTACGTCAGCTGTTTAACATGACTCACATAAACCTCGGTCTCCTTTTTTAGAATGGAACCACATCTTTGACATTTATCCCCCCACCTTGATGTAAACGTGATTATATCCCCTTTTTTATATTGAGTAGTGTCCCTTTATTTATACACAACATATTCTTTTCTTCTACAATACTAGTTTCTCTCTGATATTTCGTGCTTGGATTAACATTTCGAGCTTGTGTCTACAAATTCTTACCTAAAAATTCTGTGATAAATTAGAATGACGTTTTAGAGAGTATAAAAACAATGATGATTTAGAGAGTATTGGATGTTCTGAAGTGCGTAAAAAATGGCAACAGTCCAGAGACTGTATCTTCTGTTACCCAACCACAAATGCCCCAACAAGAAGAACTGCCCCTTCCACCCTCCAGAGGAGCAGCTGGAGGAGGAAGAGGCGGAGGTTCAGATCGTCAGCAAGAGGCGAGCCATGTCCCTGGCCTCCCACGAGGATCGGCTCATCTCCGAGCAGCTGCTGGCCGAGAAGTTGGCCAAGATCAACCAGCAGATCGCCACCAGTCTGGTCGAGGGCAACAAGCTCCACTGCCCCAGGAAGACCAGCCACGACATCACCCTGCCGCTTGTGGAGTTAGAGCATCTCAAGTCACAGCACGCCGCCTACGAGGAGTCACTGACTCTCCCTGGTTCCACTAGAGAAGAGTCAGTGGCTAGCGATTATGACTCCACGATGACTCTCGACTCGGGGGTGATGTTTGATTCGTACAGCGACCGGGAGATGGAGGTCGAGGAGGAGTTGCTGCCCTTGATTCAAGAGGAGATAATTATCCCTGATTTCATTGAGCCTAAACAAACCCAGTATGTTGTATGGGGCGAACACTTCTCTGTTGTTTAAACACATAGTTTAGGTGCATAGCTCAAGAACATAGCCCGTACTTGCATCCATACCATCATCTGTACCTGCTTCTATTGTTCATATAATCTCTGTATACGCATAGTTCTAGTCATTTCTGTCCTCTAGTTTTTTGTTCTATTCTCCATTTCTTTCATAAATTGGATTTCACATTATGATTATGGTTTACTACAAAAACATACACAATTAAACAAACCTATATTTACTTCTTAGGTCATACATACACTTGACACATATTCTTACTAAACTAATACTTATAGTGTGCTGTCAACTGTAAATATATATATATATATATATATATATATATATATATATATATATATATATATAATGTTATAGTCTTTCAGTTCATGAGTTTGTTGTTATGTGTTTTGCTACATATTAATCTCCGCCTTCTAAATCTTTGATTATTTTATTTGTTGTTGTTTTTTTTTTGCTCTTTTTTTTTTTATTAATTAAGTTTTAGTGACTGCTGCTACCCCTCAACTGAGCAAGATTAAAGTTTTGAATTTTTTCAAATCTCCCAGGTTGAAGAATGGCGAGACCGTGCCTGAAGATGAGCGCCACCACACGACCTTCAAGGACGGGGAGGCAACTCTCCAGATCAACGTCCTCAGCACAGAGGACGCTGGGACCTACACCTGTCAGGCCGTCAATGACCTGGGGGTGGCAGAGACCAGCGCAGATGTTACAGTTGAAGGTCAGCACGACACCAACCACTTCTCACACTTGTCACATCCACGATTGCTTTATATACTGTTATATATGAAACACATTTGTTTAGCAAAGATCAACCATTAATTATAATGAAAAATATCTATATTATATAGAAAAAAGATGTATTTTATATAGAAAAAAGATGTATTTTACATATATATATATATATATATATATATATATATATATATATATATATATATATATATATATATATATATATATATATATATATATCAGGTGTTCTTTGAAACCTAATATTTTTTCATTAAAAAAAACAAAAGCTAAAATTTAACATCTTAAGTGAACTTTTAAATTCTTAAAATAGTTTACCTCCCTTTCTTAAAAATTCTAATTTTTAGCTTTCTAACCTGAACTTCTAATAACAACATTCCAATTTTAACTTTCCAATTGTAAACCTGGGTTGGGTATATAAGAGTATATTTTATCTGTTGATGTTTTTAAAATGTGTAATGTTGTTTACAGAGGTCAGGCACAGAAGAAAGAGGATGGAAGATGATGAGGCATCAATTAGGTTCATGTGAGTACTTTCATATTTACTTTGTTCAAAAAATATGGAACAACTAGTAAAATGTAAGATAGCCTTCTTGTAGAAATCAGTTAAGCAGCCAGTAGTTGAATGTATTGGGTGTGATTAGTCCTTACATACAACTGCTAAACTGAAACATTGAGTTAGATGCTAGAGTAGGATCTTCTGAGTGCAACTTAACTTGATAAGCACCAGAGTGAAGCTAAGGACAATAAAGGCAATGGATCACGCTATCCCTTCATATGCTGAGCAGAGTTTCTTTTGGGCATCTCTTCAGTGACCGCCCCCCCCCCCCCCCCGAAAGCTTTAAGTGCCCCATATGCCCACCCGAGAGAAAAGTCTGAAAGAAACAATGATGAGGTCACAGAAATAGGTGACCTCTACTTCATTTGCCCTACTGACCTTTAGGTCTGATAGGGTAACCAAAATACATTATACCGGGCACCCTGTTAGTTTTGTGTAATATTCTTAGATCTATCACACTTGACCTGTATGCATGTAATCTGTGTGTTCTATGTGTATGAAACCACAATCTGTCATACGTATGCTATGTGTATGAAAGCACAATCTGTCATACGTATGCTGTGTCCCCAGGCGTCCGGCCCATGAGTATGACATGACCATGCTGGACACCAACATAGCACCTGAGTTCACCCTGCCTCTCATTGACCAGTCCAGAGCTGTTGGGGATGAGGTGACCTTCACAGTAACAGGTACAGTTTATTTAAACAGGTCTTTGTGTTTGTATGAAAGGAAACCAGTGGTGTCATTAATTTAAATCTATATACATTATGTCATCGTACATATAACATATGCTAAAAAATTATTATTTTTTTGTATATGTATAAATGAAACTATTTAATTATGTCAATATAAATAGTGCAATATTTTGATGTTGAAATGAATGTCACATGTACACTTTAGTCACCTCTGTTTTTAAATCAAAATTTACACAAACTTTCAAATGAAATTGAATAAATTTAAAAAGATCAAGCTAATAGCTACTAAAATATATCCTAGAGATTTTTATCATTAACTACTTCTGTCCTGCTGTATTTGGGCACACTTAATAAGGGCCCTTTGGGCATCTGATGGAGCAATGCTAAATATTAATACTATATATATTAAACATATTATTAAACATATTAGTAATTTGATATATTAATATGCAAAATATTAACACTTTAACTACATTCAATTTTATGGCGTAACAGAATATTTCATGTAACATTTCAAGTAGTCGTATAATATTGAAGCTATATTTAGCCTTGTTTATGGATCAAGAGTTTTTTACATCAAGATTTTAAACCAAGAGTAATGAACCTTTAGATTGAATTTGAAGAATTGTGCAATTTAGTTAATAAGTCATGAGTTTTACTTGAGTTGTCTACCTTAGAGGTTTTGTATCAAGAGTTGCCTAACTTTGTTTTGTTGGCCAAGAGTTCTTTACCCTAAGATTGTATATCAGGAGACTTGTGTAGTGTTTAGATTTGATACCAACTTTGTAAGAGTTGAATCAACTCAACCTAGAGTTGCCTACCATTTCAGTGACCTGCCGACCCGAGCCAGATGTCACGTGGTACTTTGGCAGCGAGAAAGTCCTGAGATCCAGCAGAATTTCATTCCATCACGAGAAGGGGGTCTACCGCATGACCATCCTCAACCTCAACCTCAAAGACGCCGGAGAGTGGAAGTGCCAGGCCATCAACGCCTATGGCGAGGCCTGGTGCTCTTGTGACCTAAAAATAATCGGTCAGTCGTTAAGTTAATTACCTTTTATACTGTTAAAGTGTGTTTTGTGACTAAATATCTTCAGCTGCAATCTTGTGTTATACTGTAGCTAAGCCAAATATCTGTATTTTATTCAACATTTTTTATTGAGTTTTAATTTCTAGTCTTAAGTACAAGTTGTTGTAAGATATTGTAACGATAGTAAATGATAAATGATGACGTAATATTTTATTTTAAAGTTATGTTAGCTTAGAATATTATTTTAAAATTTATCTTGAATATTTTAATTTAATTTAAATTAAATGTGTACAATACAGTTTAAAACTTCTTTGTTATCCTACTGCTATTCCTCTGGTTTTATTTAATTTTATGTCAATCATTTTGTTCAAAGTTGATCTCTCTAGCTTTAGTTGTACAATATTTTCTGTGAGTTGCTTTGCTAAACGTGAATTGTTCTATCTCCGTGTAGAGCACATTCCAGAAGGTCACGTCAAGCCCAGGTTTGTCAGGGAGCTGGAGTACATGACCGTCACCCAGGGCAGTCTGGTCAGGCTCGAGTGTGCTGTCACTGGCCAGCCCAAACCTCAGATTAAATGGTTAGTGGTCACTTTTTGACTGGTTAAATTAGGGTGTCACTTTTTGACTGGTTAAATTAGGGTGTCACTTTTTGACTGGTTAGCTTATGGTTAGTGGTCACTTTTTGACTGGTTAACTTTGGGTTAGTGGTCACTTTTTGACTGGTTAACTTAGGTTTGGTCACTTTTTGACTGGTTAACTTTGGGTTAGTGGTCACTTTTAGTGGTCACTTTTTGACTGGTTAACTTAGGGTTAGTGGTCACTTTTAGTGGTCACTTTTTGACTGGTTAACTTTGGGTTAGTGGTCACTTTTTGACTGGTTAACTTAGGGTTAATGGTCACTTTTTGACTGGTTAACTTTGGGTTAGTGGTCACTTTTTGACTGGTTAAATTACAGTTAGTCACTTCTTTACTTTATTGGTTAACTGCTTTACTTTTTTACATACATGTTTAGGTCTTTGTTTTAATAATTATTGTTATATGCATTTTTGTTATTTGTATTTAATGATTCATTATTAGATCATTATTTGAAACATTTCAAAATAATTTATGACATCCACACTTGTTATTGTGCTCTTAGGTACAAAGATCGTCTGAGGATTGACTCCGATGCCCACTACAAGATCCGATCCTATGAAGATGGCACCGCTACTGTGGTGATTGAGGGCGTCAATGTTGAAGATGCTGGCGCCTACATGTGTGTGGCAGAAAATGATGCAGGATCAACTTCCACTGAGGCCAGGATACGTGTACAGAGTAAGTTGTTGTTGTAGGGTAGCCTGGTAGCTTAAGTAAGTTTTTGTTGTAGTGTATGTTAGGGTATCCTGATAGCTTAAGTAAGTTGTTGTTGTAGTCTCTTGTAGGGTAGCTTGGTAGCTTAAGTAAGTCTATGTGAGGGTAGCCTTATAGCTTAGGTAAGTCTATGTCAGGGTAGCCTTATAGCTTAAGTAAGTCTATGTCAGGTTAGCCATATAGCTTAAGTAAGGTGTGTAATAAACCATTCCTATGTCCACACTTGACCAAATGTCATTGAAATTCATCCTGTCATTTGACCAAATGTCATCACAACTTGTCCTGTCACATGACCAAATGTCACCCAATGTCATGCTGTCACTTGCAGAGATCTACGAGGAGAGACCCACACAGGACATGACCACCTCACGTTTGGAGGGTCTCCCCAGGCCAGAGGACGCGCCTTACCTGAAGTACCGCACCCTGGTTCCACCTGACTTCACAGCCAAGCTGAAGAACAAAACAGCGCCAGAGGGCAGCACTGTCAGGCTGAGCTGCTCCGTCACTGGAGTTCCAGCACCCGCGGTCAAGTGGCTGAGAGATGGTCAGGAGATCTTTGATGGTCATGATTACACCATGAGGGTGAGTGTGTTATGGGATACACTGTGAGTGTACGTGTGTGCTTATGTATGTTTTTATACATGTGTGAGTACACTATTTATATACATTTGTGTGTGTATGTTGTTATGAATATGTGCATTCCTGTAGGTGGATGTACATATGTGATTACCTGTGTGTGTTTATTTATGAGTTTGTGTGTATGTATGTAGTCTACATATGTGTACATATAATGTATCCCAAGCTTAGCTCTAACCCAGACATAGTTGTATCTCTTTCTAAATTAATGCAATATTTTTTTACTTTGAATTTTGATATGCTACAAATAAAGTGCTGAAGACCAAACGTATTTCCCTTTCAGAACAACTACGGCCTCCTGTCTTTGGAGATTGTTTACGCCAAACAATCCCTGGCAGGCAAATACACAGTCGAGGCCTCTAACAGTGAGGGGTCTGTCTCATGCTCATGTACCCTCGATGTTGAATGTAAGTGTCCTGCATTTTTCTCATGCTCATGTACCCTCGATGTTGAATGTAAGAGTCCTGTATTCTTGTATGCTTGCATTAAAAACATGATAAAATCATTCTAGCTGCACAAGAGATTTATTTAAATGAAAGTCGAAAGTCAGATGAAGTAGAGTTCACCTGTTTCTTTGACCTAACGTATGAAGGGATAGTGTGGCCAGTGAAGTGCTTGGTTAACTTTACTTTGTCAAACTTGAGCCTGGTATTTATTGGTTGGACAGAAAAATGTTCAACAGATTGAAGTCAGGGAACCAAACTTGAGACTTTTAGGTTCGCAGTTGTGTGCTCCAGCACTTTACCATGCTATTCCCAAAGTCTGATAGAAATAAGTGGCTCACACCATTATCCTTTATTACAAAGTAAAAGTAAAACAAGTTAAGTACCTTATCTGAACCTAAAAAACAATACAGTAAATAAAACAATGCATCTGTTTCTGTGAAGTAAATGTGCGGATATCACTATAATCAGCTTAGCTTAATTTTTTAAGTTGGCTACACAATGGGATATAATGTAACAACAGGAAGTGGTTGTTTAACTTGTGTTTCCTATCTCAGGTGAAGAAGAGGCCTCCAGCATAGAGCTAGACTTCCTGAGACCAAAGTTCTTGAAACAGATTGAAGAGCTCTATGTCAATGAAGGGGAAGATGCCACCTTCACATGTATTGCTACTGGCAAGCCAATGCCTGCCTTCAAATGGTGAGTGGGGACTTGATTTTGTCTGGGTTTGTAGTTAGCCATCATTGTATACAAGGGTACATTATGATAAAATATTAGGATACTGTTGAGTTGGGTTTAATGTTTTTCACATTACATTCATCACATATTACTGGGACTATTAAAAAAGCTATTGAGCTTTGGGGAAGGGTAATTCTGCAAACATTTTGGTTTGACTCTTTAATGTTTTATAATATACTGACTTCTTACATCATGTAATCAAAGATTGATCAATTGATACCAGATCACAAGTCAATGTACAATATATATATACTCAAGTAAACATAATGATATGGGACAGTGTGGCCTAGCAGTAGAGAGCTAGACTGTTAACCCAAAAGTCCCTGAGTCCACTCTGATGGGTATCTACATCTTGTTAGGGAAAAAAGGCGGCTGGGCATAGTGTTGATTGCACTATCTCTTCATTTGCCGAGGTCTCTGAAGCATTGAACTCTACTTTATCTGCCCCATGCATGTGTCTTGGGTACAAACGGGAAACGATGATGAAACAATGATAATTGTGCTGACACTTCGTATGGATCTGTCAGTTTTCTTGTCTCTGAAACCCTCATGTTTAATTTTTAATTTCTCCAGGCAACGCGATGTGATCAACATCACCGCTGGCAAGAATGTTGAGTCTGAGTGGGACAACCAAGGCCACGCCCACCTGACCTTGAAAAACGTCAAGCCCTCAGATGGTGGTCTCTACTACTGTGTGGCCTACTCCCGGTCAGGTCGGGCCAAATGCTCCGCCTACCTCCATGTCAAAGGTAAGTCCACTCCTGTATGTCTGGATTGGTTTTTTTTGTTTCATTAATTTATTCAAAATGTAGGTTTAGGATCTGAAATCTTGGTTCATAACACTGCAACATTTCCTAATAATTCATGTAAGTTAATCATTAACATTTGTTGTATAATATGCACCAAAAGAAAAAGAAATTGCTGTTAATTGAACATCTGGGTTATTATAAGACAAATTAAAAATTTCAGGAAATAGCATACATTTTTATAAAAACTATTCTACTTACACTATAAAATAAGCATGGCTCAAGTCAAACAGAGTACTTAAAACAAATCTTGATTGTTTTGGCTCATTCTCACATTGTTTTCTTCCCCCACCAGCTAAATCCCCCTCCCCCGTCAGCACCAAAGAAACAGCTGAATATGCCAGGGCCAGCTATAGAGAGGTGAGATCCTCTGAGAGAGGATTTGCTAACCTGGGCTCACCCCCCACCCTGGCCCTCATGTTGCCCAACTCATTGGACGTTGTTGTTGGGGAGAGGCTCAAGTTGGACTGTTCCGTACAGGGATTCCCAGTCCCACTTGGTAAGTCACAGACAAATATACAGGGGTTCTCAAATTCTCGTGGTAAGTCACAGACATAATACAGGGGTTCCCAGTCCCTCTAAGTCACAGACAATATACAGGGGTTCCCAGTCCCTCTTGGTAAGTCACAGACAATATACAGGGGTTCCCAGTCCCACTTGGTAAGTCACAGACAATATACAGGGGTTCTCAAATCATCGTGGTAAGTCACAGACAATATACAGGGGTTCCCAGTTCCTTTTGGTAAGTCACAGACAATATACAGGGGTTCCCAGTTCCTTTTGGTAAGTCACAGACAATATACAGGGGTTCTCAGTCCCTCTTGATACGTCACAGATATGGTTTTATTTCCAATTTTTTAACAAGTATTGTTGATCTACCCATGTTTATAAGTTCTTATAATATCTTTGATCCAAATTTAAGTGTGAGTAAATAGTTCACATAAACAAAAAAAAAAACAACCATTACAAGCTTAAAAAAACATTAAGACTACAGATTTTGAATTATGGGGCTAAGAAGTTCCTTTTATGTTTTTATATAATGTCACATAAATATCTGGTTTAAACAAATTCAGTTACTAAATAAGAAAATATTTGAATGAAATCATAAACATGTTTTTTTTAACGTGCTTCAGTGACTTGGCATAAGGGAGACAGAGAGCTCATGTATAGCCAGCGCCATCGCATCATCCTGTGTGGAACTCTCCATACCATGGAGATTCCTCAAACCATGACCATAGACAAGGGAGAGTACATCGTCAGGGCAACCAACATCTACGGAACCATTGAAACCTCTTGTCATGTCAACATCTTGCCTCAGGGGTAGGCACATTCAAATCTTTTTTTTTTAACTTAATGTCTTAAATCAGTGGTAGCACATATTTCATTCAAATTTTATTTTTTCACCTGTACATCTTAAATCCTAGGTAGGCACAGAGTTCATTCAAATCTTCTTTTTAATTTTTTTTTTAAACTTAATGTCTTGAATGAGTGGTAGGTACATAGTTCATTCCAATTTTATTTTATTCCTTTAACTTAATATCTGAAGTCAGGTATAGGTACATAGTTCATTAACATTTCATTTTACGTTTTGCCTAAATATCTAACCACAAAGGTAGGAACATACTTTTTAAACCCTTTTCTCATGTGCTTTTTTTTCAAAATTTTTTATTGTTTCTTTTTGATGACTCTAAAATTAGCCATTTTGTTTCACAAATCCTTTTACTAGACCTACCCCCCCCCTCCCAATTTTTTCCATAAAATGTTCATAAAAATACATAAAGAGACAACTTTAGCTAATATTTCCTATCTAAAACACAGCAGTATTTAAGAAAAGCTAACATGTTTGCTGATATTGTGTGTTTGTATACAGATCTAAAGTTGCTGTACCACCAGACTCTAAAATACAGCAGTATTTAAGAAAAGCTAACATGTTTGCTGATGTTGTGTGTTTACTTGTATACAGATCTAAAGTTGCTGTACCACCAGACTACAGACGTGAGGCAATGCGAGATGCTGCTAGAATGAACTTACAAGGTGAGGAAATCTCTCTCATTTTGTTAGGATTTGATCTTAGGCAGTAACTAAAAATATATTCCTACTTGTAGTCTGGAGTATTTAAAAAATTCAGTCTCCTCAGCAATGTTGGCATCAATATTTAGCTTATAAAAATTAAAGAGTAGTCTCGACCCGCTTCCATGCATTATAAATAATTTGTTTATTTGTATTATAAATTTTATTGCCTAATATTTTTTCATTGCGACCATTTTCTGTAATAAGTTACCCAAAAATTAAATTTAGTGCACTTTTATTTTCTCTTGACTACATCATTTGGGGTATATTTTTTTTAAAATATGTACGAGTGTGCAGTTTGATCCTTTGTAGTAAATTACCATTTAGAACTTGAAAATATATTGACTCAGTTGTGAGTCTACTATATTAATTCCCCTTTATGGATCACTTCCCTTGATTTACGATGTAGAAATTGTAGTTTGTATGGTAGAATCTCTTCTTTTACTCTTTTTTTTGTGTGTATGTATGGTACATGCTGCGTTTTGTGTACAATTTTGTGCTTTTGGTACTCTGCTTTGTTTTTTTGCCAAGTCTAATTTGAATTTTTTATTGTTTGATTTAAATCTGTTAAATATTGGAATTAAATATAGAGTTTATTGTAAGCTTATTAAAGAGGTTTTCTCTGGGAAGGGGAGTAAGTTTGGTTGGAAAGGATACTCCAGAGGCTTAGCGATGGGGGGGGGGGGGTACATATGTCCCTGGGCGCCGACCATAAGGGCGCCAAAATAAGCTCATTTTAGCTGATATTTTGAATTATAAATATAAAAAATATAGGGGGGGGGCGCCAAATTGAAAGTTTGTCCCCGGGCGCAGGGAGGGGTCGCTACACCTCTGGGATACTCTTTTTCTAAAGAAAGCAAAACTATCCTTTTAGCAGCTAAAAATAGTAAAATTGCAAAGAAAAATAAATAAAATAAAGAATGACTGCAATAGAGAAAATAAACACTAAATGAAATAAAAATAGTTCAGTTATTGTTGTTGACAAGAGCATTTATCAGGGATTCACTCAGCTTACTGAATAAAATAATTGTATAGTATAAGAGCTTAAATTTTAAAAACACTGATCACAAGGATGAAGAAGTTGTGAAGAAGATAAGATTATTTTGTACGTTGTAACATGTTAGTTATATTGTCCCTCATAACCTTTGTCTATTCTTGCTTCCTAAATCCAACCTTGCTACATACAGAGAACCCATATAACATTCCATTTTATACAATTTAAAATGTATAAACAATACACCATGTTGTTTCTACCATGTATGTTGATGTTGTAGTTTTTACATTCCATTAATTTGTCAAAGACTTTTAATTTCTTAAAATCATTTTCACACCACCGAAAAAGATTCTGCTTAAAAAAAAAACTTTATTTCAATGCATGTTTTCTCTCATCCCTCCATTCCACCCACCACCCCCATCTCTTGCATGCTATGATGCTGATGGTGTTACAGACATAGACGAAGAATGTGGAAGAGAAGCTGTGGGTTCGGCACACAGACGACCACAAGGTACACTTCTGTGGTGACATTAATGTCATACTGTTGTTCTAGGAAGTGGCACTTGTTGAAGTGGTTCTAAGCACATCTGCACTTATTGACAATACTACCAATTATTTTTCTGTAGCATGCACATTGTGTTTTTCTTCTAATATTATTTTTAAAATACACAATTTTTAATCAATGATCATTTTAAAACAATTGATATTGTCTGTAAGCACTTATAATTTACATTTATATATCATTCATATTAGTCAACTAGTTTGTTGGAAATAGTTACAACTATATTTAGTATCTATGTTGTTTTAAAATTAAATTATGTTGAAACTGTTTAAGTTATTTTTGCCTGACAAATTAAAAAAAAAACAAATTTGAAAAATTGTCCAAATAAAATATTTGAACTAAAAACTATTTTTAATATTTAACAAAAAAATGAATTTTTTCACTAACAAAAATTTAATTTGAAGATTTATACTGATAAATTTGATGTATTTTTAACAATGCTATTTTTTTCAAGTCAAAATTAACTACATAATCCTAATTGTTTTTATCACAATTTTGAGTTTTATTTTGTGCACACAGAAATGATGTTTAAAAACTGACTCTTAATATCAGTTGCTACAATACTAAAGTTATTTGAAATCTAAAGTGGCCTGATAAACTGTTGACAGTTGCCAAAATAAAGTGTAGACACAGTTGCCAGATTGCTGAGCACATAAAACTATTTACTACATTTTTACCAGGCTCCTTTAGAGAAAAATGAGAGGTTTTTGTTTGCAAAATTAATGTTTTTATATTATTCATGATTTAACAATAAATATTTGTTACAACTACAACTTTTTTTATGTAAAAATAAAAATTGATAATTATTATTAAACTATTTTTTTAAAATGAATTATTTTTATAATTTATGAACTGTAAAAAAATTGATTTCATTATTATTTTTTGTTTACATTGCAACTTACCACAGGTAGCACTAAATTTGTTGTTATAATTTGATGTGTCAATGCAGCTTATAAACATAAAATTTTCTCCCTTGCAGCACCTTTCTTCATCAAACATTTGCCCAAAACAATTGACGTCATGCAAGGCGTTGATGTCAGGTTGGACTGCATCCTGCGTCGCGGCATTGAGCTGATCAGATGGTCCACTTCACCTGATGTTGAGAGAACAAAGAAAGACCTTGCTGATGAGGGCTACCATGGAGATTTCATTCCCATGAGTAAGAGCTCTCAAGACAAGGAGGAAAGAAAATCAGGTACTTTTGTTTTTTATACCTACCAGATAGAACAATGTCACTAATTGTTTTGTTTTTTATTTAAATCTGTATGCAGTCTTTAATGTATGAACAGACCAAGTCCAAATTTTCATGTAAGTGTGTAACCACTGTACAAAAACAATGTGATACCAAAGAGTATGACATCAATGTGTGAACATTTTCAGACCGCGACAGTAGACTGGAACACCCCCTCTTCTTGACCACACCCCAGGATCTGGAACGTCCAGTTGGAAGTGAGGCTGTGTTTGAGTGTACCAGCTCTGGCAATCCTGAGCCTGAAATCAAATGGTAAGTCTATAAACTTTATCTCTTACATCAAATGGTAAGTCAAAAAACGTTTGTACCTCTAACATCAAATGGTAAGTCTAAAAACTTTATCTCTTACATCAAATGGTAAGTCTAAAAACTTTATCTCTTACATCAAATGGTAAGTCTAGAAATTTGTGTATCTCTTACATCAAATGGTAAGTCTAAAAACGTGTGTACCTCTTACATCAAATGGTAAGTCAAAAACTTTATCTCTGACATAAAATGGTAAGTCTAAAAACTTGTGTACCTCTTACATGAAATGGAAAGTCTAAAAACTTTATCTCTTACATCAAATGGAAAGTCTAAAAACTTTTATATCTCCTACATCAAATGGTAAGATAAAAAAATTATTTTTTAAATTTTATATTGCACTTTCTTCTCTACCAGGGTTAATTAAGTCATAAAATTAATGATTCAGACAACACATAACCAAATATATTATGTCTTTTTATGTATTAATGACGTAATTATATTATGCCATCTATTAATTTTTAACACCCCCCCCCCCCCCCGGCACAATTCTAGGTACAAAGATGGCAGATTACTGATAGCTACAGGATCAGTACAAATGACCACAATAGGAAACAAACATAAGTTGAAACTAAAATCCATCTTAAGATCCGATCAAGGTGAATATGAGTGCAAGGCCAAATCTATCGCAGGGACAAAGACTTGTGGGGCTGTCTTAACGGTGGTTGATGGTAAATATTTTCTTTTCTCTTCAAGCTGCACTTCTGGTTTTTATTTACTGCTAAAAAAAATGTAACAACATAAGCTTTAAGATCGATTGAAAATAATTGTAAATTCTAATTATTTAGACTGCTAAATCTTTATGCTAAAATAACCCATAGTTAATTGAATAGTTGAAACCATTTTGAGTGTTGAGTTAAAATTTAAGAAAAATTTTCTCGCGCAGATTCCTCTGACCGCAGACCCTCTAAAACGCAACCAGTTGTTGAGGAGGATCAACAAACATCGTCAGACAGCAAGACACAAGAATCCAGTCCCAAGTCAGTTTCTAATTATTTTTTTTAACATTCATGCATTTTGCATTAAAATTAAATCTCTTGATTTTTTAAAACTTTTAACATAAATACATTATAAATACTTAAGGAACTTCATTTTTAGATTAGCCTTAACTTAAGTACCTTAAGTACTTGAGTGAAGGAAAAGTAGTTGTAGACCTTTATAAATTAATGAAGGAAGGTTATGAAATGTCTGAGATGTTTAGAAGTTGAATATTTTAACCTGGAGACAAAGGACATCCACCTGGCTCTGATAGTAATAAACATCGTTAGTCTATCAATGTTCCATGCTAATTTAGCTGGACCTAAAATATTTTACTTCTCTGTTTCAGACAAGAAAAGAAAGAAGAAAAAGAAGACAGATTAGGCCAACAAACAGATGGCAAGCAAGACAAATTAAATGTCCAATATGAAAAACCACAAAAGCCTGCTTTCAGTCAACCCCTTCCCAAGACCACCAGCGCCAAACATGGGGAGGACGTTGAACTCTTGGTTCAAGTGTCCCCTGGGGAGGTGGCCAGTGTCAAGTGGGAGATGGATGGAAAGGAGGTCAGTATTTGTCCACCCTGCTATGATGGGTAACTAACTAGTCCACCCAGCCCTGATGGGTAACTAACTAGTCCACCCAGCCCTGATGGGTAACTGACTAGTCCACCCAGCCCTGATGGGTAACTGACTAGTCCACCCAGCCCTGATGGGTAACTGACTAGTCCACCCAGCCCTGATGGGTAACTGACTAGTCCACCCAGCTTAGGTACCTGACTTGAGTTCACCCAGCTCTGATGGGTACCTGACTCTAGTCCACCCAGCCCTGATGGGTAACTGACTAGTCCACCCAGCCCTGATGGGTAACTGACTAGTCCACCCAGCCCTGATGGGTAACTGACTAGTCCACCCAGCTTAGGTACCTGACTTGAGTTCACCCAGCTATGATGGGTACCTGACTTGAGTTCACCCAGCTATGATGGGTACCTGACTTTAAGTTATCCAGCTCTAATCAGTACCTTACTTGTATGTGGTAAGGTAAAGGCCATCTGGGCATATTGCTGACCATACAATTTCTTCATACGTCAACATAACAAAGCCTGAGGTGTACATCATCTTCCCTAAGAATGGTCATTTTTGCTAACCCAAAAGCAAATAATGTACATCATTTTTGCCTAGGTTTATTACTTTTTAGCTTGCACCTGAAAAACATACAATCTAACTATCATTGTGGGGTTAAGAACTAGTCACTGTATAGACAACACAATACCTGTCTCACTGTCTCCCTCAAAATAGCCAAAAAGAAACATAAACCTTGTTGGCTTATTATGTTGGTTATAGAACATATGTTGTTGATGTTTAAAAAAATACACTGCCTGTGGTACTGTAATGATAAATCCCTCTCCCTCAGCTGCCCAAGGAAGCTCGTTTCTTTGTTTCCTGTGGTCAAGCCATCAACGAACACAAGTTAACCATTTGTAAAGCTACAGAAAAAGATTCAGCCAAATACACATGTGTGGTCACACTCAAGGATGGTGACCTCATTCACACCTCCACCAAAGTGACCATAGCAGGTAGGCTCAGGAAATTATTTGATCTAACAGACAAAAAATTATGTTATCAGCATAAATACTAGCTACTGATAGACAAAAAATTATTTTATCAGCACAGTTGACAGCTGCCAACAGACAACAAATTATTTTATCTGCATACATACCAGCTACTGACAGACAAAAATATATTAAAACAACTTATATTAGTGATCTATTGACCAGTTGTTTACATCTAACTACCCTTTACAAAATTAACATTGAATATTTTTCCTTACTTGAACTACATCATCTTCATTTTATCTTTTAAATTTTCATTTAATTTTTTTTTTCTTCCATATTATTAATATACATTTTTGTTACATTTTATTTTACCAGCTGAAGAAACAAATGAAGAAGGGTAAGTTATGTTGTTATTGCATGATGTTTTTAAAATTCTGATCTTGTAAAATAAATATTAAGCTGTTCACCTGTATTTTTCTTTTCAACATATGTACAACAATCTTTAAAAAATTGCAGCCTCTCTTTACAACAATCTGTAAAAAAAAATTGTTCTCGCAGATTTGAGTTTCACTTTACAACAATCTTTTTAAAAAACAATTGTTCTTGCAGATTTGAGTTTCACTTTACAACAATCTGTAAAAAAAAAAAATTTTCTTGCAGATTTGCGTATCACTTTATAACAATCTGTAAAAAAAAAATTGTTCTTGCAGATTTGAACCTCACTTTACAACAAAATTAAAAGACACAACTGTCAAGGATGGGGAGGGGCTGACCTTGGAGTGTGAAATTGAAGGCAACCCCCGCCCCCAGATCTCGTGGATCAGGGATGGTGTGGAGATTTTTGACAGTCAGGTGTGTTGATGTCAACAATTCCATTGCCTAGTTGTTTTTTTTTTCACTACACATTTTACTTCATTTGCTTAGGGATGGTGCACAGACCACTACCCCTAAATTACATATCATTTCTAAGAATAGAATTGTATTCTTAGCTTTTCTAAATAGAAGAGAAAGTTTACAGAATAAATAAAAATGAAAATAAAAATAAAAATGCAGGGTAAAATAACATTGCTCTGTATTGCCCCTTTACCAGAATAACAAAATGTAGCTTTAAGGATAAGATATAGGTGCAGTATATATTATAATATGGCAAATGTTATAATTGCTCAACTAATGTATGAATTGTTCACTCATTAGGACTTCCAAATCTCTATGATTGGCTCCCATTGTAAACTTCAAATCAATGAGATCTACCCTGAAGATGAGGGCAAATACAGCTGTAAGGCAGTCAACAACTTAGGGGAAGCAATCACTGCTTGTTATGTTTCTGTTGAAGGTGAGATTATGTCCCTTGAAACAGATATTTATTTTTAAAAATTAAAACCAGAAGTTTTGATACGTAATTATATGATTAGATGTTTTTAAATTTAAAACTATAACTCATTAGCATTATATATTTCTAATCTGCATGTATTATATAAACTTAAGTGAATTAAAATTTGGGAACAGTATATTATATCCAAGCATCTCTATATCAAAGTTTACTAGCATAAGTATCTATTGTTATGTTTAATATTTTAAGAATCTGCATTTCTAAAAATTATGTTTTACCTTTATTTTTTTAAATGTTGTAATTTGAAAAAAACAAGTCAAATGATAAGCATCATTGAGCCAAATTAATGAGCTAAAAACCACAATATTGTCAAATGTTTATCATTTGAGTTGGTAAAAATTGTCTTGTCTGTCAGCTGTTGTTGGGTCATGTAATTTTTAGTGTCGGTCTGATCAAGTGGCTGTGGTGTTTTTGTGCTGCTGTGTTTGGTAAAGTGTTGGTGTTGATGTGGTGTTTGTATTGCTGCATGCGCAAGCTGTTCCCATACTGGCTGTTTATCTTTGCAAGCTGTACTCCAAATATGCTGTTTGTCCTTGCAAGCTGTACCATAATAAGCTGTATATCTGCTCATCCTGTTAGCTAAAAAATGCTGCGACACCGTTGTTATATATCTAGCTGCAGCCATTTCCTCCACACTAAACTGTGATTTTATTTTACCCACAACCCTATAACTCAACTTCACCTCATTTTGTAAGCTACAAAATCTATCCCATATTTTTTAAATTAAATATAAGTTTAAATATTAAAATTTTGACAAAAAATTGATTTGAATTTTTAGCAGTTAGGTTTGTATGGGGGGGGGTGGGGGGGGGGGGGGGGTTAACAAGCAGGTCATGTTGACCCAACTACAATAACAAATATGACCTGAAGCCGAAGTCATAAAATTGAATAATTAATTGTTAGTTTTCTTGAGGTAGGAAAATATTTGGGGGGAGGAGGGATGGGGGGGGGGGGGGAGTGTAGCTAATGAGTTGTGTAACACTCGTGTCCTATTACTATAGAAATACAATTTTCCAACATCATTTAGTGTACACCATAGGGAATCCTTAAAGAAATCAGTTTCTCAACATTGGGAAAATGAAAGAAACTAATAAGACATTTTGTTAACGAACATATTGAGATATATATCATGTTATGTACAATGAACATTTTTTAAAAATCATTTCTATATTTTGGCCCACATATGATTGTCTAAACAAAACATACTAGATCCCATCCATCAATCATTGCAATACTCCAAAGACCTCCCGTCTCCACCCCCCCCCCCCCCCCCCCCCCAAATACAATTTAACGGTTCTTACTAAATGATGAAACCATTTTAACTTTTTTTTCTAGTAGTGAGTAGTAGTGGTAATTCTATTTCCTCATTAAACATCTTAAACGTGTAGAAAGGCAAACGACACAATTTTAAAAATTAGACTATCACTGACACATTCCTCAACCATCTACTAATGTGTAGATCCTGCAGAATTTAAAATGAATCTTAAAATCTTCCAACATTTTTCCTGTAATAGTTTTTATCCTACCGAATAACTCTTCAATCCAAGAAAATTAAAAAATGCGCGCGTGTGTTGCGCGGCGCTGTCTTGGTGTTGTGTAGACAGAACGTCGTTATGTTTGTCTTGATGTAATGCACACAAATATAGGATCATGGTCTCATTCTTCATAGGGTACACAATAATATGTACATACATTTAAGGAGAGATAAGTGTGCGATACATACATTACAGACATACATAGAGCAACACACAAATGCCTATTTTAGACTCCATACATACTATGCTTAAGTCCATACATACATTACATACGGATAAACGTACTTAATTACATGCACAGACCTACACCCCTATATATTATTCATATAAAGTGTGTATAAGAATAGGCCATGAGCATATTTGCTGTGATGTTGATGATGTTATTATGTCATGTCATCCACGTTGTTACATGATGATGTCACACTGTCATATGTCATCCACCTTGTTACATAATGCTCTCTCTCTCCTTGTCCTCCCCCGTGTGAAGAACTGGGCGGCTACGTGTCGGCCGACTCCGCTTCCACCACCTCGTCTAGAAGTAACGGTAAGAAGCGATCATGTTGTGGGCATGCATCGAGGTTGTCTCTGCCGTAGTGCTTGCCCTTAGTTTGTCGCTTCAGCAGCTAGGCGTCATGCCGATATTTGTGAACCGATTTTACGTGTTCTAAATCTCTCCGTTCAGTTAAATATTTAATGCCTTATAAAATTAAAAAGCAAATTTAAAAAAAAATGGATTAACTTATTTTAATTGTTATTGAGTTAATCTTATATAACAAGAATTCGAGTTTAGCTTGAGTGTATCGTACATCCGGTTGACCGCGTGACTATATCTATTTTTAGACGCCCTCTAGCTGCTGAAGGCACAAAACAAAAGCCAAGTTAAAGAGTGATCAGAGGCGTTAGGCGGTGTTAGAGGCTATAATGAGCTTTTTTCTGTAGAATAAATATAGGCCAATGGTGGACTACACTATCTACATCACTGATTTGGTTGGCCTAATTTGTTCTATAGAATCAAAGCCAAACTAACACCGGCTGTTGTCGACTTCTCGAGCACTGATTGGCTGCTTCCTGACGATTTGAGTTCCCTTCCGGAAGTCGGCGGTGAACTAATCGTATGGAGGTCATGTGTTTGTTTATCAAACTATTTCAGTTTGATTTCTGTAGATGTGTAACCTACACATTTCTTCTGCCTGCTGTCTACTTTCTCCTACACAATTTTAGTTCAACTCTCCATTTTCTACTATGTGTGCATCTACTCTATCTTTACTTTATTTCTGTTACATTTTTTATTTATTTGTGAAGAAATAACACGATTCTGTTAATGTTTCTTACCAAACGTATGTGTTACACGTTGAATAAACCACTGATGGTCGAGGTATTGTCATCACTTTTTGTTCTAAAGCACGACCATAGGGTCAATACTTGTGGAATGAACTTATGCAACACCAATATTTACTATAGAAATATAGTATTGTCATTGCCATCACGCGCAATAGATTCACAACTAAATTAAACCGTATACATGAAATGGTTGCATTTTTTTAAAAATCTGCCCCGATTCGTTTTAATTTGAGCAGATTTTTTTTTTTTAAATGCCTTCGTTGAAAGAAGTTGGAAGCAAAATCGTTGAACTACTATGTATTTTCTTCCCCTTCAAACAGCCATAAACATAAAGTTAGAAATCATTTCATGTCAATCATCGTTGTGAACTATAACAATGTCAGTATAAGCATGGTTGTAGCACAAATTCTTGTATCGTGATTGGCTATTGTCTCGTATTCACGTTGTCATTTTTAACCCATAGTGCCCATCGGAAACCATTAAGTGTCGTCCCACATTTCAGTACATCTTTCAATCTTTGATAGATCTAGTACTTTGTCATATAATTTTAGTACATTATGAAAATGTATCCCCAAATTACTCATGTGCCATCATAATACCATCACGTGTTCTTATAATACCATCACGTGTTCACATATTGTCATCAGTATGATCTCATAATGCCGTCATGCCAATACCGCAGGTACATTACCTGTGCTATTGTCCCCTCCATCATGTTGTGCATGCTAGGTGTGAGCATCAACCACACCTTTACCTGGCAGGTGGGCTGGACGCTGGCATGACGCGCCAGTCTATAGGTGGCAGCCCTGCTGGACAAGAGACCAGTGTTCCCTCTAAGCTGCGCGGTTGCGCGGCCGCGCAGTAGTTTTGAGCTGCTAGGCAGTGATTTTATAAAATACTTATATCCTTGTATAAGACTTTTAGAACACCGCGCACACAAAATACACGTTGCCTTCTAATTTTTTCCCTTAGAGGGAACATTGCAAGAGACAGTGACAATTTTTTTTTGTTATGGCACATTGTACCCGTACCGTGCCGTCAAGCTGTAATCTTTGAAGTAGCTTCAGCTGTAAAGGTTTAGTTCAAATCCTGTCAAATTCTTCCGACTAAAATCTTTCGGATAGATTCAGCTTTAAAGTATCAATCAGTTTTAGTATAGATATACTCGCACTTGTTGTGAAAGTGGTGTTATATACAGTGTATCATACAGTCCCACCTTAAAGGCAACAACCGTTTCAGGATACCTGACAGTTCCACCTGAAATGTCACCAACAGTTCCACCTGAAATGTCCCCAACAAAATGTCCCCAACGGTTCTACCTGAAATGTCCCCAACAAAATGTCACCAACAGTTCCACCTGAAATGTCCCCAACGGTTCCACCTGAAATGTCCCCAACAAAATGTCCCCAACAAAATGTCACCAACAAAATGTCACCAACAGTTCCACCTGAAATGTCCCCAACAGTTCCACCTCAAATGTCCCCAACAAAATGTCCCCAACAAAATGTCCCCAACAAAATGTCCCCAACAGTTCCCCTGAAATGTCCCCAACAGTTCCACCTGAAATGTCCCCAACAAAATGTCCCCAACAGTTCCCCTGAAATGTCCCCAACAGTTCCACCTGAAATGTCCCCAACAAAATGTCCCCAACAAAATGTCCCCAACAAAATGTCCCCAACAAAATGTCCCCAACAGTTCCACCTGAAATGTCCCCAACAGTTCCACCTGAAATGTCCCCAACAAAATGTCCCCAACAGTTCCCCTGAAATGTCACCAACAAAATGTCACCAACAGTTCCACCTGAAATGTCCCCAACAGTTCCACCTGAAATGTCCCCACAAAATGTCCCCAACAAAATGTCCCCAACAGTTCCCCTGAAATGTCACCAACAAAATGTCCCCAACAGTTCCCCTGAAATGTCACCAACAAAATGTCACCAACAGTTCCACCTCAAATGTCCCCAACAGTTCCACCTGAAATGTCCCCACAAAATGTCCCCAACAAAATGTCCCCAACAGTTCCCCTGAAATGTCACCAACAAAATGTCCCCAACAGTTCCACCTGAAATGTCCCTAACGGTTCCACCTAAAATGTCCCCAACGGTTCCACCTGTATCAAACGGTGTCAGTCTGAATGTTCTGGCACGTCAGGTGTTATTTGAGACCATCCCCGGTATTGAATGACAGCAACACCTGCGTGAGACACCCCCCCCCCCCCACCTTAAGACTTCCAGGTGGGACAACCACCCCCCCCCCTCCATTGGTGTAACCGCGCGTGGTATCTCCCGTAAATCTTCGAACAAACATTTCAGCCCCCCCCCCCACCCCACCCCCACCACGCCCGGCGAAGACCCCTATTCCTGGCATATTTTTTTCGACCAGCGTCAAACTTTGGGGGTGTACATTTATATTCCTTCCCTGCCGCCGGTAATTCTAGCTCGGGTCTATAGACACAGTAAATGTTTCCACGGTTAGATCTATTCACACGACTATTGTGGCAGTCCCTATCTAAACATCTCCGCACTCTAGAGCCCGGCTAATGATTTATTACTATTGGACGTCACCTCACTAATTGTCAAGGGGCGCATCATTAAATCCGCGGATGGGGCGCAGAAAAAATAAGGATTCTTTTCTCCGTAGGGCTAACATTGTTTTCTTTTTGTTTACTTTAGAGAAACGTGATCGGTTAAATAATGATACTATTGCCTTGGAGAAGTACAATTTTTTTATCATTTTAAAAAAAGTGTTACTACTTTCTAATGAGTTTTTAAATTATTAAATGATGCACTCTGGCGTTGTGTGGTAGTTGACGTCTAGTTGATATTAATGCATGTAGTAGTTGACTTGATGTCTAGTTGATATTAATGTGGAGGGGCTACAGCGTTTTGTGGTAGTTGTCCTGATGTCCAGTTGGTGCTAATGTAGTTGGGGTCAAGTGTAATGTGCTACTTCGCAAGATGTCCACCTATAAGTCCAATGTCGTGTTGGTACGAAAATGTCTCATAATGTAAGAAATATTTGACACATTTTCAAAAGTATCGGTTATGGCAGATTTCAAGAAATTAATGTAATATTCCGTCGTCGTCCTCGCCCCACCCCACCTCCCTTTACTAAAAAAATCAGCGTTATAAACGCTATTGTGATTAGAAATTTGAGGCCTGGTAATTTAGAACTGTTTTATTTACAAACGTTGCGACCTAAGGCCTCCTTCAGCTTTGAGCAGCGCTGATGTTTTTTGTCAGCTTTGTTTCGTACCTCCACCGGTCCTCTCCCAATCTTAAAACGATAATTGGTAGACACGTGATGCCCGTAATGACCCGTTTCCCGTGAGGACGAATTCGAGACGTAAATTTTTGTGAACAATGGACCCCCCCCCCCCCCCCATCCCATCCCTACCCTCGGCACCTGTGCTAACGAGGCGATAAAACGGCTCCGCTGAGTCCCCTCCCCCTTTAGAGTAACCTTTGAGCCAGTAATTAAAGTCACTCCCAGCCTTACTGCGTCTTTCTCCGTTATTCCTCTCTCAGGCCACAACATCCATTACAACAGCCTTGTGCTTTACTTTCTATACAACGTCGACGTTGTTTTATTTTTTTTTATTTCGCTAAGCCAGCGTTAAGAAAACAACCTGAAGATTTATTTACTTATAGATTTTCTTTTTTACATTTTAAATTTAAATTAAATTAGACCTTAACAAAACCACATTTAAGTAAATAAAAAAAAACTAGTTTCGGATAAAGCATTACATTTATTGTTAAATCAAACGGATAGCTAAATACAAAAAAAAAATCAGCTTTGATATCAATTTTTAACGAAATAGTGCGAAATACACATCTATTGTATACTAGCTGTATGCTTGCATTTCCTCTTGCATTCTTCCTCCTAATCGAATTAGATCTACGCATCTATAATTCCTTATAGAAATGCGCCTCGTATTGGCCATGAAACGTACACTGGGGGTTTTGATCCAGTGGCGCTCGGTGTTATCAAGTGGTTTATTTCAAGTAACCTCCCCTGGTGCACGGCTTAGTCCCCTATGAAAGCCCGACATGGGGCCAGACTTGGTCGTCTATCATGGAGGAATTCTCTGCATTTTTTCCAGCACCTTCTCAATGGGAATCTCATTTCGCGTTTTGGCGCGATGCATAACTGGAAATTTGAAGTGGGATTTAAAGCCAGGAAGCCAGGCGTAGGTGGGTTGTCG